TTGGATGAAAGTGCACGCGCCGATGCGATGGTGTCGTTTAGGGCTTAGGGAGGTTTCGGGTTCAGGGTGTAGGTTTAGGGTTTTAGGGTTAGGGTTTTGGGTTTAGGGTCTAGGGTCTCAGGGTTTAGGGTTCAGTGTTTGGGGCATGCCCAGGCGTCACCGTGCCTGAGCAGTACTTACTGGGTTTTCAAATGCTCAACTTTGATGCTTTTTGTTGGTTCTGGGTTCCTATTCTAGCTACTTCTACCTAAAAAGTATAGACATGTTTTCTCCAAGGTCTATTCCAAAGTAGGGCCTAGGAGGCTACAACATAGGGTTCAGGGCTGAGAGCTCTGAGGAGGCTACAGAATTGCCACACGTATTGGTGGCTGCAGTGCCCCAGATTTCCGTTTTAAACGAGTAGGCCCCGGAATGCCATTGCACAACATGTGCCCTAAACCCTAAACCCCAAACCCCTTTGGCACCTCAAGAACTTACAAACCCCATGTCCTGAGCCCCAAAAATGGTTGAGATAATTCGATATTCGACCTGCAAGGGGGCTCATGCCCTGGACTTCGGGTACTTAGAGAAGTAGGGTTAGAAGCACACTAAGTATGAGGTAAGGACTTCCACTCTTGCTTCGGGTGCTTCGAAGCCTACTTTTAAGTACCCATGAACCTTCTCCCTCAACCCCAAGCCCGAAGCCCTAAACTCTAAACCCTAAACCCGAAACCCTAAACCCTAAGCCTACTTATGAGCACCCATGAATGATGAGCCCACATCAGGTCTCCGAAAAGTTCGTCGCGCTCGGGGGCGTGCCTTGCCTCCAGTGGCCCCTACGACTCTAAGACCGAAAGCCCCTCAAAACACAGCTCCGAGGTTAGGGTTTCAGGGTTATAGGGTCGTTAGGGTTTTTGGGGGTTTAGGGTTTAGGGTTTAGGGTTTAGGGTTTAGGGTTTAGGGTTTAGGGTTTAGGGGGGTTTGGGGCCTCAACCCATGGCGGAAGGGCCGCTGTGTTCCGCAGACTTCTACACAGCAGGCACCAGCTCGCACCCAGAATGCACATCTGCAGGTGTATTGCTGCAGATGTTCGACTCCTCCTAAACCCTAAACCCTAAACCCTAAACCCTAAACCCTCCTAGTGAAGTTGTGGATCCCAAGCCCTGAGCCCTAAACCCTAAGCCCGACTCGACTTCCTGGGCTGGAAAGATCGATCCTGGAGTTTCCCAAAGCCCGTTGATCTCTAGACTCCAGCAACTGCTTGCTGAAAAAACACCAAAATATGCAAATATTCTTCCCTATAAGGGCAATGAAAGGATTATTGCATGTTTTCTTCTTGGGGGTTCTTAAGCAAATGGTTGCTAGAGGTTAGGGCTCAAGGGCTTAGGGCTGCACCGCTCACGGCCAGCATTCACGAGGTCTAGGATTTTGGAGGGTACCTCATCAGCCAAATATCTTTTTGGTGCTGAGAGTCTTGTTAGTTAGTTGTTGTAGTTCTAGATTTCTTTTTTCCGTTCCAACGCGCAGAAAAGAGGTTCGATCGGCCTCGCCCGCGCAAAGTGCCCGCTTTGGGCGAGGCCGCGTCGCCCTCCTCGAAACTGTATTTTCGGACCTCTGGGCTCTTATGGCCTCTGACTGTGTCGGGTCTACGCTGGCATGGTTAAGGTTTGATCTTTGGTCATACTTGGAGCATGAGCGCGTGTTCTGCCCTGTTGCGGGCTGCCCTGCAGCCAATATCCGGCATGCTCGCGGGTGGATGTCGCACGAATCCATGAGGGCCCACCTCGAGGACCATGACCCTAGACCCTAGACCCTAGACCCTAGACCCTAAACCCTAAACCCTAAACCCTAACCCCTAAACCCTAAACCCTAAACCCTACACCCTAAACCCTAAACCCTAACCCCCATTTAGATTCTTTCGTGGAAGGGGTGCGACTTCGTAAGCTTTTGAGATGCCACCGGTGAGGTCGAGGTCTTGGAGAAGGTCTTGCGTGGAGATCCCGAGGCGGGAAACTGACCTCCTTCTTCTCTTTTTTGAGGGGGGGTTAGGGTTTAGGGTTTAGGGTTTAGGGTTGAGGGTTGAGGGTTGAGGGTTGAGGGTTTAGGGTTTAGGGTTTAGGGTTACTATATGTTTGGGGGGTCACCTCTTGCTGCTTGTGGGCTTTGGGGCTTAGGCTTTTTTACGGTTGAATTAGGGTCCAGGGTTGAGGGTTTAGGATTTAGGGGCCTTTGGATGTGGGTGACTTTTTTGGCGGCTGTACTGTTTGGGCCGTAGATCTTTGGTAAGCTCCTACGTGGGGGCTTTTGGCTCAGATTCTATGTGTGTGTGTGTATATAAATATACTCACCGTTCATACTCGCTGTAGTTGCGTCAGTGCCATCCTTGTGTATGCTTACACGCATTTCATCTTCACTTCCACAAAGTTCTTAAGAGGCCTCACCAGAGAGGCCCCGAATCTCTCTCTCTCTCCCCATTTCTCCCTCTGCTGCCCTCTTTCCCCAGCGACAACAAGGCAGGTTCCGAGAAGAGTCCAGGGCGCCAAGAATCTGCCTTGCCAACCCTAAACCCTAAACCCAAAACCCTAAACCCTAAACCCTAAACCCCATGTACAGCCTATGTATCCCGAGGACTCATGTGTTTTTTATAGGGCCCCCCCCCCAAACCCACCCCCCCCCCCCCAAACCCACCCCCCCCCCCCCCACCCAAACCCCCCCCCCCCCCCCCCCCCCCCCCCCAGTGTTGCGGCTTGCAGTCCACGACGCAGATGCTGACACCCTTCCATCCAGAGTTACAGGCGGGACATGGTCCTTAGTTCCCTTGCATCAGGGGGTGTAGGGTTCAGGGTTTAGGGTTTAGGGTTTAGGGTTTAAGGTTTTTTAGGGTTTAGGGTTTAGGGCCTTAGGGGATGTAAGCCCCAAACCTCCGGGGAGGGGGAGGTTCATGCCAATGCTCATGAGTGAGCTCTAAACCACTAAACACCTATGGCTTCGAGGTTTACAGGCCTAGAACTTATAGGCCCGAAGACCCTAAACCCTTAGGTCCCCACTCCCGGTGACGCTCGAATGGTTTCGGTTGTGCCGATTAGCTTTTACATCGGTTTGGGGTTTAAAGGTTTTGCACGTCAAGTCGGCTGGAAGGGGCCAGTTATCTAGGGGCTTAGGGCTTAAATTGCCTCATAGGGCTGTTGTAATTGGTTTTTGGGAGATTTCGTCTGGTTTCTGTGCTGTGAGCTAAACATACAAACATACATGCATGCATACACGCCCACAGCACGCATGCACATACAGACAGACCATAGAGAGATAGATAGACAGATAGATAGATAGATAGACAGACGGTTGTGTTGCCATCCTTAGTACCTAGATCCTAAACCCTAAACCCTAAACCTTAAACCCTACGCAGAGGGATTAAGGGTGTAGTAGTTCGAGTTCAAGGGTTTATCACGAGCCCGAGGGCCTTGAATGGGTTGGAGCGCAACCTCCCTACAGTCATACGGAACCCTAAACCCTAGACCCTAAACCCTAAACCCTAAGCCTCGCTAGTCTTTCGAAGGCATTGCTTGGTTCCTAAAGATGCAGCCCTGAGACAAAACGCCCTACAGCCTCGAATCCCTAGCATGGGTTAGGTTTTAGGGTTTAGGGTTTAGGGTTTGTGTTTCGTTTGGGGCTCAACTTGAACCACTCAGATGGTCCTCGCCCTCATCCTGTCGGAAGTGATTCTGCTGGCAGATGCGGAGGCCAGGCCGCCAGGCCTTTGTCTGGGTCTAGGGTTTGGGCTTTCAGACTTTCGCATGTACTTGAGAGGGGTTGGCGGCGTAATGGAGCCCGCAAGTGTGCATGGCCCATCAACCTTGTGGGGCATTTCCCACGGTACGGGTGCCCCTAATAGTACCCCAAGATGCTGCAATCCTTACTAAGTCTGCACCCTACACCCTAAGCCCGAAGCTCTAGCCCCTAACCCTACACCCTAAGCCCTAATCCCTAAGCCCTAATAAACCCCACACCCTACACCCTGAACCCTAAACCCCAAACCCTAAACCCTAGCTCTAAACCCCAAACCCAAAACCCTAAACCCTAAACTTTAGAAGAGCATGACCAGAGCTGTGCCTGGACCTCTGTAGCCCAACTCCAGAGACAGCGGGCCCGAAGTCTGAAAACAAGGATTTAGGGTTGAGTTTAGGGTTTAGGGGTTTAGGGGTTTAGGGTTTAGCGTTTAGGGTTTAGGGTGTAGCTTTCTAAGATTCAGCGTGGGCGAGGATGACTTATGTAGGTTTACTGTAGGGTTTAGGGTTCAGCGTTTACGGGGTGTACCTTTGCACCTTCAAGGAAGTTCAAACATGCCGACTACATAGGGCGCCCTGCCCTTTTTGAAGGTTATACATAAGTTACTCTAGGGGGAGGGAGTAAGGGTTTGTCAGGTGATGGCCAAGCGTGGTGCGCGAAAATTGGTTCAGCACTCAGTCGAAGCAGTGCCACTTTGAGCCCCCGCTCCCCCCCGTGAGGCTCAGAACTCGGAATCTTGGATGTGCTTATAAAGGTTAGTCCTGTATCTCTCCGTTCAAGGTACCATGGAAAATGCCTGAACTCCTCGCCCGGGCATGCGTGATGCTGCTTCGGCCATGTCATTTAAGGGAACCAAGAACCCTAAAGCCGACAAGCCAAAACCGTATAAGCCCTAAGGACACATGATCTAGGGAGCTGTCCTGCAAGAGCGCTTGCTGCATCAGGCTTTGAGCTGACTTATTCCAGCTGAATGATCTTATATTGGCCGGTTCTACATGATTGGACAATCTGGGTAGTATTGGGATTGCAAGGGGACAGTATTGACATTGCTTACCAAGACCACATCTTTCGCAAAGATCATATGGTCAGACATTGTCAAGACAAGGCGTCTACAGATGGTTCGGTTCGGTAGGAACTGCAGTGACAGGGATGCACTGCATCGGTTCATGTTGCAATCTCGGCGCATCTAAGTAAACGCGGCCCGAAAGCTTTCGGTAGCTGCCCTGATGAGCTGAGTCATGGAGCCATGTTGGCATGCTCTCCGCGCTGGAGCGCGCCAGAAAGCTCCGAGCTTCAAATCGCAGAGTTGCAGGTTGCTGGGGTTCCTGGCCGGGGTACTTGCAACCAGCCTGGCCGGCCAGCTCGCATTTGTACCGTCCTTGCCCGTTGTTCGGTACCGAATACGACGGACGAGCACACAAAGATGCAGCTTGGAACCTGGAACAGAAGGATCCTGCACCACTTTTGTGGGTCTTTGGCCCGTCCGCCCGGAAGACGAGGCGATGGCCGACGCAGAGATGCAGCTTCACTTCGAGCGCAGCGGCTTCTGCCACGCCCAGGAGCTGCTGACCGTGGATGAAGCCTCCGCGTTGGCTCAGGAGCTTGCAAAAGTGCCTTAGCTGCTGAGTTCATATAAGCCCCCACAAAAGTGGACACTTTCAGTTCGAAAGAATTTTAGGTAGTATCCCAAGAAGTGTGTAAAGTGTACTCGTTCAGCTACTAAGGTGCAGTCCTCGGAGATCTGCGAGATGGCAGCACTACAGCATGAACTGCGACAGCATGTGGATGAAGCAGTCGCACGATCTTGCCGTACTGCGCAGGATTGCCGGCGGATGCTTCAGAAGTTTGAGAAGTCAGGCAAGGTAAAGTTCTTGCAGTACTTCAACCTACATCGTCCCTGGGGTTGATTCTGGAGTACATTACATTTTGAACTAGCAAGCTGCCCTCATCAATACAAACCCATACACCAATACTCAAATCCCTGTATGATGGTTTTCGAAATTGGGGTACCTTATTAGGGGTCCTTATTGTGAGGGAATCCTACTATTTGGGGTCTCTTGTAGGGGTCCCTCATGTTCGTAAACCCCCATGTTGTGGCTCCCCAAACCCTCAATCCTGAACCCTAAACCCTAACCCCCTAACCCTAAACCCCAAACCCTAAACCCCAAACCCTGAACCATAAACCCAAAACCCCAGGTCACAGTCCGTTTCTGCGACGAGCTGCACTGTCTCCTCGACTTGGTTTGTGGGCGGCTCGCTTGCTCGGAGTGCCGCAAGTCCGCCTCTACCAGGACGCGCTGTTCCTTGATGAGTAAACAAAGAAGGGTTTAGGGTTTAGGATTTAGGGTTTAGGGTTTAGGGCTTGTGGACCATATATGTCTTAAACAGGGGGTAGCAGTCTGGCTTGTAGGATGCTTGAATGTTCATGGGGAATGAGTCATGAGTAGGGTTACAAGTATCTTAAATCATAGTGACCCTCCTACTTATACCTGCGCCCTCGGCACGAGCCTCCAAGTAGCCTTAGGTGCCATATGGGCAGTTCTCTAAATTAGGGTCCCGTTTTAGGTCCTGTATAATATGCATATTATGCACATGTATTTACAGGACATATAGATATGTGCATATATAGTACAGCACCCCAAAACCCTAAACCCTAAACCCCTTTGGACCCCGAGGTTTATGAAGTACCCACGACATGGACCAACACGATGGCATTCAGACCTTGCATTGTCTCCGTTCGACACCAATGCCTTCGTGACCGTGCCTAGGGTTTAGGGTTTAGGATTTAGGGTTTGCGTTTAGGGATTAGGGCTTATTGCTGCGTACCCTATGCCCTAAACCACCCTAAGCTCTAAACCCTAAACCCTCAAGGGGCGTTGTGGTAGTATAGGGTCTCTGATCCCCAATCTTGGGGCGCATTTGGACCCTAAACCCCGGACCCTAAACCCTAAACCCTAAACCCTAAACCCTAAACCCCAAACCCCAAACCCCAAACCCCAAACCCCAAACCCCAAACCCCAAACCCCAAACCCCAAACCCTAAACCCTAAACCCTAAACCCCAAACCAACCCCAAACCCTAAACCCCAAACCCTAAACCCTGAACCCTAAACCCCTAAACCCCTAAACCCCTAAACCCCTAAACCCTAAACCCGAACCAAGGTGTGGCTTGCACTGACACCCGTCAAAGCCAAAGGAGGTGCCGGGCTCCGCTTCGCACGTGGCAGCCACCGTGACTACACGCTCCAGTATCATACGGAGCCTTATAGGTTTGCGGTTTAGGGTTTTGGGTTTTGGGTTTGGGGTTTAGGGTTTAGGGTTACGGTTGGGATGTTCCTCCCTTCTACTGGCAGTTCTTAATGGGGATTAACAGGGGTTATTGTACTAAAATCCCTATTAAGGACTGTTCGTGACCTAGGGGGAACATCCCAAGGTATAGGACATATTGGGACATGTTCACTGTGTTTACCCTTTTTGTTTGTGGGATATATGGTAGTGGTTGACGAGGCTGAGCGTTGGTAAGTTTTCAGAATAAAGCCGCACTTCTTTGCGAACATACCTTTTTTTCAGAGGGCCTCCCCTAAACCCTAAACCCCTAAACCCCTAATTTTTTTCGAATTCCGGGGCAACCTATAGGAGCTGGCGGATAGATACACCCAAGATGATCTGAGCAGTCGCTACCCCATCGAGGAGTGCACCGAGCTGCAGCCCGGGGATGCGACGTGGCATCACGGCTGGACGCTGCATGCAGCCTCAAGGCTGGACAAAGCCGCGACTTGGAGACAATTTGGATAGAACTGTATACGTTTTGGTAATGTTTGGGCACTAGAATTCCGAAGAAACAGCAGAAATTGTAGTTTTTGCTAGGGTTCCAAGTTCAGTACAGGCAAGGAGCCCCCGTGTGGCCTGGGCCATCAGCTTTGTGGCGTCTGATGCGCGGATTCTCCCGGAAGAGTCCCTGAACATCGTCCAAGCAGCTGAGGATTCCGTGTCTCAGGGGCTGGGTAGGTAACCTTTAACCTTTTTTGGTTATATAGAACCTTGCGATATATATATATATATGTATATATATATATTATATATATATATGTATATGTATATATATATATATAAGGTTAGCCTTTTTCGAGCTCGGGTGTTCAGCCCCTGAGGTGTCCTTCCAGCCCTGGATTCAGCACCTATGCCCCGGTGCTCGCGCCGAGCACGGGCTGCTACCACTACTTCCAGTCGAAGCCTGAGGGTTGGGGGTTTAGGGTTTAGGGTTTAGGGTTTAGGGTTTAGGGTTTAGAGAAGTCGCACCAAGTCGGAGGCAATGGAAAAAGGACAGCTGTTGCACGGGGTCGCGATTGGGTTTGGGGTTTCGGGTTTGGGGTGATTTTCCTCTGCATGCTGTATCTTAGTAGGCCACCCATAGAATGGAGTAATATAGGGGGTCGGAATAAACCTAGTAGTATTCCCTCATGGTCCCTGTATGCAATTATACTAGAATAACCCGCCCAAAACCCTATTCTCATTGTTCAGATGACAAAGGGCACTGACGGCTGGGTTGCAAAATTTCCCATGACGCCCCCGATGTCCGAAGTTGTCAATTAGCCGCACAAGTCCCACAGCTCTAGCTTAGGCTACTATGTGCTGAAGAGCCCCAAGAAAACAAGAAACGTGCTCTTCCTTTTTGGGGCCATATGGGGATGATTATCGTTTGCTATTACAGGTGTCTTAATACGCAAAGAGTAGTAGGGCTTGTACCCTAAACCTTTTGACCCCCAAACCTAAACCCTGAAACTGAAGCCGCAGGGGACCAACTGAACCCAAAATTGGGAACTTGCCCTATTCTACCATATGCCTGATCTGGGCTTATGAGCCATGCACCTTTTAGGGTGCAGTCTGTCCTTAAGCAAGCCTCAACCCTAAACCCAGGCCCTAAACCCTGAACCCTAAACCCTAAATCCTAAACCCTAACCTTAAACCCTAAACCCTAAACCCTAAACCCTAAACCCTAAACCCCAAACCCCAAACCCTAAACCCTAAACCCTAAACCCTAAACCCTAAGCCCTAAGCCCTAAACCCTAAACCCTAAACCCTAAACCCTTAACCCTAAACCCTTAACCCTAAACCCTAAACCCTAAACCCTAACCCTTAACCCTTAACCCTTAACCCTAACCCTAAACCCCAAACCCTAAACCCTAAACCCTAAACCCTAAACCCTAAACCCGTCAGATCTTGCTGAGGCCATGAATTGGTTCGTATCCGGCAAAGGAGATGTCAACAAGAGGCCCAAGCTGCCCGAGCTGAAGGCATAGGATTTGGAGGATTTAGGGTGTAAGGGTTTAGGTTTTAGGGTTAAGGTTTTAGGTTTTAGGCTTCTGGAGTTTATGATTTAAGGTTTGGGGGGTTAGGGGTTCAGGCTTCTTTGTTTCGGATTCCGTTTTTGGAGGTTTGGGGTTCTGTGTTGGGATGTTCCCCTTGTGGGGGAACATCCCAAGTTCTGTGTGTAGAGCTCCTTCGAAGGGACCCTCAATGTTATTTACCTCGGGAAGTCCCTATATACCTAAGTAGCCCCTAAAGAAGAACCCCTAAAACCTGAACCCGAAACCTAAACCCCAAAACCCTAAACCCTAAACCCTACCCCTAAGGTCCCATATCAGGGTCCCTCCTTGTGTCCCTTGATCCTTTGGTAGGGCCAGCCTGTGCTGCCCGTCGACGAAAGCTTAAACGCCACACCCCTGGAGCCATAAGCCCCAGACCCTAAAAAGCTTAAACCCTGAACGCTAAGCCTCAAATCCTAAACCCTAAGCCCTAAGCCCTAAGCCCTAAACCCTAAACCCTAAACCCTAAACCCTAAACCCTAAACCCTAAACCCTAAACCCTAAACCTTAAACCTCAAACCTCAACCAAGAGGATGGGTGCTCTTGCCAAGCTGTCGAACTACTCTGCTCAATCCGAGCCGCGGCCTCTGAAGGTCTTCTTTGGGATCCCTCCGGCTTCTAGGGTTTAGGGTTTAGGGTTTAGGGTTAGTTCCTGACTCCGGGGCTCTGATTCCAAGAAACCCACCCTAGACCTTAAACGGTTTGGGGGCTTGGGATGTAGAGTGCCGGGGGGTTGAAGTTTAGGGGCAACAGCTCCCGAAGAATTGCATCCAGCTTTTCTTACTGCTTCTTTGTAGGGAACTAGGGACTCACGCGTCCTTGATGATGCCCTGAGGACCCGAAGAGGCGCATTGAATGGGTACCTAATTCGCGCATTCCCTGTGCATTTACAAACGACCAGCCCTCTATCCTCCCCCCCCTAAGGTTCCCCCTTTAAGTAACCTTAGCTAAGCTTAATTCGCCTGAGTAACCGGGGGGAGCCTAGGGGAGGTAGTATAGTGGGGGGGGGAGGGGGGTGGTAGGGGAACCCCTGAACATAGTGTACTTGGGCTCTAAATATACACTCCAAAGATACTCTAAATTCTAAACCCTAAGCCCTAAACCCTAACATAGTCTAAGCCCTAAACCCTAAACCCTAAACCCTCATCCATGGACGCTTTGGACAGTATAGAAGTAACGGCTCAGCACATGCGGCACTTTTTTAAGTACAGGGCGTGGGGAAGGAGCGAGGAGCCCGAAAAGGTTGGATGTTCTTCGGGTTTGGAATTAGGGTTTTAGGGTTTAGGGTTTTAGGGTTTAGGGTTTTAGTGTTTGGGGTTTCGGGTTTGAGCGTGTAGGGTTTAGGGTTTTAGGGCTTAGGGCTTAGGGTTTAGGGTTTAGGGTTAGATTATCTTTGGAGTTTGTTGCCTAGGCTTGTGCGGCTTTCCTGCCCATGGAGAACACAAGAAGCTTCCCCCTTCACGCCACTCCCATTCACGCCACTTCACAGCCTGCGCAGGACCCCCAGCATTGTCCTTGAAAGAGTCGGTTATCTCGGGGTGAGCCCTGCAACCCTAACCTTAGATTCCTCCTCACGAACTCTCCGGCCGTTCAAATCCCTAAGGGTCCATGTACCCTAAACCCGAAACCCTAAACCCGAAACCCTAAACCCTAAACTCCTAAACCCTAAACCCTACTATGTACATGGACCCCTTGGGGTTTTGATCTTTGAGGCGTGCTGTGCAGACCCTCTTCAACGCCTTGGATGGAGCCATGCGCCGCCGCTTTGATCGACTTCTTGGAGGGTCTAGGGTTTAGGGTTTCGGGTTTCGGGTTTATTGTTTAGGGTTTGGGGTACTTAGTAACCCAATGATATAGTTATCACCCACTTAAAATCCCTCTGAAGTACCCTAATAGGGTTAGAATTGGGTTATAGGCACTGTTAGAATTGGGTCACAAAGTACCATGAACCTCCAAGTTGGGTTTAGAGTAGGAGGCTTTCGGGTTTAGGACCACGTGAGCTCTCCTACTCTTAAGCCCTATATGTCCTCAAGGCTTTGGTTGATGTAAGCCTTGCAGTATGCTTCGTGCGGGCCGCGTGCGTGACAGAAGCAGCATGTCGGCTTGTCAGGTTACGCCTAGCACGGCACGCTGGCCCACTGAAGGATGATCCGTGTCAGGTGGCTCTCGGGAAAGGAGCTGTCGTGTGTTCCGCTGCAGGATGAGTTGAACAACGTGAAGGGCCTGAAGCAGCACTTGAATCGGAGGCACGGCCTGCCGCCACGTTTCTTAGTAGCAGAAGAAGATAAGCTCTAACCCTTAAGGGGTATTTTCATTCCTATACTATATACTCCCCAAGGTTATCCTTTAGTTAATCTAGGCTACTGGACAACCAAGGCTTCCAGCAAAGGTTGCTTCTTGACGGCCGGAGCTTGGATGACTCCACCCGGCTAGACTCCTCCATGGAGCTGGAGCTCGTCTTTGGGATTCTTGAGAATATTTTCTATGTTGGGGCACTGTAATTCCTAAGAAACAGCTAAAATCCCTTAACCCTAAACCCTAAACCCTAAACCCTAAACCCTAAACCCTAAACCCTCCAAGTTCAGTAGAGGTCCTGCTTACATATTCGGCAGCCTCGGCGCTGGAGGTGGAGGGGCTCCTGTCTGCTGCGAACCGTGGCTGGGTGGCTGAGGCCGGTGTAGGTTTAGGGTTTAGGGTTTAGGGTTTAGGGTTTAGGGTTTAGGGTTTAGGGTTTAGGGTTTAGGGTTTAGGGTTTAGGGTTCAGGGTTTAGGGTTTAGGGTTTAGGGTTTTGAGCTCTAGAAATCATCCGGGGCTGTCAGGTGGAGATGTTGGGGGTTCAAGTATCTGGGGTTCAGGGTTTAGGGTTTGGGGCTTGGGGTGTAAAGTTTAGGATAAGTCTGGGAGCCCTGTCAGGTTGAGTCCATGTTGCAGCATCCACGCGACCCGGACACGGCAAACGATGATGGTTGGACGGCTCTGATAGTGGCATGCCACCACTGCCAAAGTCTTCGTAGCTGAATGAGTACACTTTCCATTTTTTGGGGATGCTATACTTTCTTATAGAACTGAAAGTGTACTCTTATTTATTTATTATTATTGTTATTGTTTTTTTTTTGTTGGGGGGGGGGGCATGAACGAGCCACCTCGGAGGTGGTCACGTTGAGGTCGTGCGCCTGTTGCTTGAGGCCAGGGCTGACATCGACCACGCCAACAATAACGGCTTGACGGCTCTGATCATGGCGTCGAGACGTGGCCACACCGAGGTCCTTGGCCTGTTGCTTGAGGCTGGGGCGACCATCGATGTAGCTATGAGTGACGGCGGAACGGCTCTGATGCAGGCCTCGCGATATGGTCAGCTTGAGGCGATGCGTTTGTTGCTTGATGCTGGCGCTCGCATCGACTTGCCCAAGAAGGATGGTGTGACAACTCTGATGGCGGCATCTCATGGTGGGCACCTTGAGGGCGTTCGCCTGTTGCTTGAGGCCGGCGCTGTCATCGATCTGGCCAGGAACGACGGCGTCACAGCTTTGATTGCAGCAGCTGAACATGGTCACCTTGATGTCACGCGCTTGTTGCTCGAGGCCGGCGCTCGCATCGACTTGTGTATGCACGACGGTGTCACGGCTCTGTTTGCGGCAGCTGGACAAGGTCACGCTGAGGTCGTGCGTCTCTTGCTTGAGGCCGGCGCTCACTCCGACTTGGCCAACAAGGCCGGCTTCACAGCTCTGATCGTGGCATGTCGACGTGGCTTCGCCGAGGTCGTACGTTTGTTGCTTGAGGCCGGCGCTAGCATCGACTTGGCCATGAAAAACGGTGTGACGACTCTGATGGAGGCCTCTCGTGGTGGTCACTTGAAGGTCGTGCGTTTGTTGCTTGAGGCTCGCGCCAGCATCGACTTGGCCAGCAACGACGGTGGGACAGCTTTGATGCAGGCATCTCGTGGTGGTCACATTGAGGTGATGCGCTTGTTGCTTGAGGCCGGCGCTCGCATTGACTTGGCCAGGAAGGACGGCGTTACGGCGATCTTGCCTGCAAGTCATCAAGGTCACGCTGATGTCGTGCGTTTGTTGCTTGAGGCTGGCGCTAGCAGCGACTTGGCAAGCAACGACGGTGTCACTGCTCTGGTTGTGGCAGCTGGACAAGGTCAGATTGAGGTCGTGCGTTTGCTGCTGGAGTTTGGTGCTACCATCGATTCGGCCTGCGACGGCGGGACAGCTCTGATGAAGGCATCTCGATATGGTCGGGTTGAGGTGGTGCGTTTGTTGCTTGATGCCGGCGCTCGCATCGACTCGACCAAGAAAGATGGGGTTACATCTCTGATGCTGGCATGCCAGCAAGGTCACATTGACGTCGTGCGATTGTTGCTTGAGGCAGGAGCAAACATGGACTTGGCCAGCAACGTGGGCGTGACAGCTCTGATGCTAGCATGTCAACAAGGTCACAAGGACGTCGCACGTTCGTTGCTTGAGGCTGGTGCTCGCACGGACTTGGCCAGCAACGACGGCATTACAGCTCTGATGCAAGCATGTCATCATGGTCACTTTAAGGTGGTGCGCTTGTTGCTTCGGGCCGGCGCCAGCATCGACTTAGCCAGCAACGATGGGCAGTCTGCTCTGATGCAGGCATCTCGTGGTGGTCACGTTGGGGTCGTGCGTCTCTTGCTTGAGGCCGGCGCTGACATCCACTTGGCCGACGAGATCGGCTTTACGGCTCTCGTTGTGGCATCTCGGTGCGGCAACGCCGAGATCGTGCGTCTGTTGCTGGAGGCCAACGCTGGCATCGGCATCGACTTGGCCGTGAAGACCGGCGTCGCAGCTTCTTGGTAGCCCAGTGGTACCCTTTTTCCCTTTTTTTTTGGTTCAAGGTTCCCTTACAACGAAACCATTAACCAACCCAAAACAGGGTGCCCTCATTATAAGATGGTTACTGGGCTAGCAAGGCTGTGAGCGCGGCATCTGAACATGGTCACGTTGAGGTGGTGAGTCTGTTGCTTGAGGCCGGCGCCCGCACCGAACTGGCCTGCAACGACCGTGGGACAGAAACGATGTAGAGTTCAGAGTGTTTTTGTTTTAAACGTCCTAATCCCCAAGCTCTAGAACCTTTAGCCCTACACGTGGGTTGTACCTTTGCGCTGCACTTGACGGCCAACCTCCAGTTTTGCCAACGTGTGGCCTTGTGTGGTTCCATAAACCTAAATCCTAAACCCGAAAGCTTAACCCTAAAACCAAAACCCTAAACCCTAAACCCCAAACCTAAACCCCAAACCCCAACCCCCAAACCCGAAAACCCAAACCCTAAACACGAAACCCTTTAAGCCCTAAACCGGAACCCGAGGGTTTGTTGAAAATTCCCTACGCCCCCAAGGCATGCTCAGCCCGTCTGAACGAGCAACATAGGAACCTCAAAGTGGAGGCTCATCAGTGCTTATAAGTAGGATGTTGGGTTTAGGGTTTAGGGTTTAGGGTAAGGACCTCGAGAAGGTATCCCTAATCGCGGAAACCCCCAATGTTAATGAAACCCCTGACGTAGCAGGTTCTGCAAAGACTTCAGCTGGAAGGGGTCTTGATATTGGTTATATCGGCTACTGACGGGGCTGTAATGTAGAATGCCCCTAAGCCGTGCCTTTGGCCCTAACCTGACAGCCTAAACCTATTCCTAAACCCTAAACCCTTTAAACCCTGTAAACCCTTTAAAACCTTTGGAGCCCTTTAAGCCCTTTAAGCCCGTCAAACCCTTTAAACCCTACACCCTAAACCCTAAACCCTACACCCTACACCCTAAACCCTAAACCCCGCCCGACTTCATGTTCCATGTTGCCGGTAAGGACACGAGCACGCCTTGGTCTGGGCAGCCTGTGACTCAACACACCCAGGGTTCAACCTCAGGGTTCAGGGTTCAACGGTTAGGGCTTCAGGGTTTAGGGTTTAGGTTAAGGGTTTACGGTTTAGGGCTTAGGGTTTACTGTTTAGGGTTTGGGTTTAGGGTTTAGGGCTTCGTAATTGCGAAGCCCAGACAGCCCTGGACGTTGAAAAACGTAACTTTCAGTTGACCTCGGCTCAGACCCTTAAGTACCGTAATGTACTTCAGTACCATGAACCTCCAAGTAAATAAATGTACTATAGTCCTAAACCCGAAGCCCTAAACCCGAAACCCTAAACCCTAAACCCTAAACCCTAAACCCAAGACTCTAAACCCTAAAGCCCTCAAAACCCTGTTCTAATGATTCAGGTCCCTATGTATGAACTCTCGGAGCCCAGTTCCACCCCCGCCCCCCCCCCCCCTTCCCCCGGCATCCTTTTTCCACTCAGAGATGTACCTCCTGAAGCCCTAACCCCTAGGGTTTAGGGTTGAGGGTGTAGGGTTTAGGGTTCAGGGTTCAGGATTTAGGGTTTAGGGTTCAGGGTTCAGGGTTTGGGGTTTAGGGTTACACCCTAAACCCCCTGTCAAACAAAAGAAGAGGACCTACACCTTGAAAGCCTGATAAACCCCTTAAACACACCACGAGGTAGTACAACAAGCCAACCTGCAGCTCACCTAATCTACAGTTTGTGGTTTCGGTGTAGGGTTTAAAGGGTTTAGGGTGTAGGGTTTAAAGGGTTTAGGGTTTAGGGTTTAGGGTTTAGGGTTTAGGGTTTGCGGTTTGCGGTTTCAGTTGCCTGTTACCTCTCCTTTTGGCGTCTGCCCTGAGTATCGGGCCGAACCGACGCCTTCAGTATCAGGGTTGCGCCAAGTTTCCCAGGCGCCCGAAGAAGCTCTACACCAGAACTCATACGGTCATGGCCTAATATGGTCCCTTTTGGGTCCTAATTCTAAGGCGCCCCTATTATTTAGGGTACCCCAAAAAAAGGCAGAACTGACCATGCCTGAATCCCCCCCAAACCCCCGAGCGTTTTTCGGCCAGTAGAATTAGGGACTGGGTAGGCAACCTGTAGCCTTTTTGGTTATATAGAATCCCATTGTGGAAAGGGTAACCTTGTTGGAGGCTAAGGCATGCCCCTAAGGCCCTAAGTAAAGCGCCGCCTAGGTTCTAAACTCCTTGGGCATGTTGGTCTCCAGCCCATCCTGCTGCCAGCTGCTCCTGTCATCAGGCGAAGGGTTGCTGGGGGGGACCCTAAACCCTAAACCCTAAACCCTACACCCCAGAGTCCAGGAAGGCTTGAGCTAGTTGAAGAGTCTGCTAAGCCTTAAGCAGAGGAAGAACTAGGAAGGCCTCCCCTTCGCCGACGTGGGTTTAGGGTTTAGGGTTAGGGTTTAGGGTTTAGGGCTTAGGGTTTAGGGTTTAGGGTTTAGGGTTTAGGGTTTATAGTTTTCATGGGGTTTTGACAACAGGGTTATCTTGGACAAGTTTCCTTTTTCGGAACGCTGCTCTTTGCAGTGTGCTTGGTACTTCTAGCTGCTTCTACCTACGCAGCATATATGTTTTTCTCCAGGGTCTACTCCAAAGTAGGGGATCGCATTGTAGGAGTTCAGGGCAACTCGGAGGTTCATGGGTACTTAAACGGTACTTATAAGTAGGACAAGTGTAGGGTAATTCACTCTGGTTGTAACCTTCTTTAGGGTACCTTGTAACCCTACTTATACGAACCCATGAACCTCGAAGTATGCTTATAGTATTCTGCATGTCGGGCGCTGGTGCTGTTGCTTGGGGAACGTGCAATTAAGTGTCGGGGAGACGGAGCGCGGAACTTAATCCCTTGCTATCGCGCATGCGATGCCCGAAAAGGCGAGACACCCAACGAGGGTTTCTTTGGGCTTCATTGGGATGTTCCCCCCTTATACTAACAGCCCTTAGTAGGGACTATAATCGGAGGTACTAGAATCCCATGAAGGACTGCTAGTATAAGGGGGAACATCCCAATCCGGTTTTGGGGGGGCGCCCCCCCAACCCAAAAACTCTGACTCGTCGGGCCTGAGGGTTTAGGGTTTCGGGTTTCGGTCTTGGGGTTTTTGTTTTTTTCATGTGCCGGACAGTAGAACCCTGTACGCCGCGTCCAACCAGGCTACATCCTTCTGCTACATCGAGTTCTCGAGGTGCCACACGCGTGCCTATAGGGCATTCCTTATGTGCATATGGGCAGTTCTCAAAAAGATGGCCCCCTTTTGGGTACCCTAAATATTGGGGGCCCCCTCAGAATGGTAACCCAGAAGGGACCATACTGTAGAGAGTGCATATCGCCTGAGGGAAGGTTGTAGCCCTAACCCTTAGGCTCACCTTAGGCTCAACATACTCCCCACCAAGATGATATAACTAGTAGGGTCAAAAGCCCGATGCTTTCTATTGAGGGGTCCTTTCGGTTTTGGGGATAAAGAAAGCTTTGGGTTTCGGGTTTAGGGTTGGCTTCGGGAGCTTTCCTCTTGACACTCCTAAACCCCAAGCCGTCAATGCCAGAACACACAAAGCTGGACTAGCCCTGTACTCCTCAGCCCTGAAGTCTGTTAGGAGCCTTAAACCCCAAACCCTGCACCCTAAACCCTAAACCCCCCTCCCAAAGGCTGAGTTTCATGTCCGGTCTGAAGCTTTTAAGCTCTGATTTCTCCGAATGCGGAACCCTGAAGATTGAGGGTTCAGGGTTTAGGGTTTAGGGCTTAGGGGGTTTTAGGGTTTAGGGGGGCGGCTTTATGGGATGCTCCACAAGTCTAGCGCAGGTGCTCAGGACGAGTTTCGAAGTCCAGAAGCCCTTGCGCCATCTGGGCTCTTGAATTCCGGGGTGCTCGACCCGAGCCCTCCACTTCTTCTCTGTCGGGAATTGAGGATTGGGACTTGCGGCTCTGCTTGGTCTGCAAGGAGCAGGCACATGTCCGCAAAGGACATTGCGTGAACAGCAAGTGCGTGCCTGGACTGCAGATTTTTAACCTCAAGCCCTAAACCCCAAACCTGGAACCCCAAACCCCAGGCCCTGGACCTTGAACCCGAGACCCTCAGCCCTTCCCTTGTCCGGGCGGGCACGGGGAGGGCTGGAGCCGAGGCGCTTTGGAACCCCTAAAGCCAACCTCCAACCTCTCAAAACCGGAAAAACCCTAATCCCCTAAAGCCCACCATCAACCCCTGAAACCCTAAGCCCCAAACCCCAAAAGCCCTCAACGACTTTGGGCCGAACCCAGATCCAAAACCCTAAAACATAAAATCCGACAAACCCTAAACCCTAAATTCCTAACACCCTAAACCCTAAACCCCAATATCCTAAACCCTAAACCCCAAACCCCAAAACCCCAGATCTACACTGCTCTGCCGGGCATCCTCCCCAACTCCCTGGCCAGACGCGACGCCCACCTGGCCTGTGTTTTGTCCCCGTTTAGGGTTTAGGGTTTGGAACCCTATATATATATATAGAGAGAGTGTAAAGTAGAGGAGGGGGTACCTCATTCCCTCATTCCCTACAAAGAGCTAGCAAGGTGCGGTTTCAAGGTTTAGGGGGGTTTAGGGTTTCGAGGGGTTCCAGTGTTTTTCTTGCGGGGGCTCGCTGGCTTGCAGGGATTTGGGTTTTCAGGTTTCGGGTTGCGGGAACCCTAAACCCTAGACCCGCAACCCCGAACCCTAAGCCCGAAACCGTAAACATGTTTCTGTCCTTTTGCTTGAGTCAGGAACCCCTGAACCCAAATTTCCCGGACACGGAATCCCCAAGCGTGAAAGGGTTATAGGGCCCTTAGGGGAGGGGGTTTAGGGTTCAGGGTTTAGGGTTTAGGATTTAAGGAACCTTAGGGAAGCTTCGGCAGCTTTGGCGAGATTAGGGCCTTAGGAGTTTTGGGTTATGTGCCCCCCGACCCGTTTTGGTTTCTTTAAAGCTTATAGCTTTTGGTAGATGCCAGCGTTGCTTGGTTCGGCTGTCTGCTGGGTATGCTAAGGACGAGGGCCCGTTCACTGCTCAACCATTGGCTTCTGTTGTAAAGGGGTTTCGGGGCTTTGAGTTGAGGGGTGTAGGGTGCAAGGGTTCGGAGGCTTCGTGAGGTTTAGGGGTTTAGGATGTCCACTATTTGCTTAAGACCCGCCCCCAAAAAAATGTGATAAATAGTATTCTTTCTTGTAGGGGCATTACAGGGAGTATTCTCCTTCTTTTGGAGGTTGTGAAGCAAATAGAAGTTTAGGGTTCAGGGGCTTAGGCTTCAAAGGGTTCTGAAGTAATGGCCCTTGGGTTGCATGGGTATCTAAGGGGGATGTAAGGGGTTTCCTTTTCAGGGCCTATATTTAGGGACCATGCAACTACCCTAAGAATTCCGTTCCAGGAGAAGCTGCGATCTGCCACAAAGAAAGAACCGGAGTTTGTCTCCACCTTCAAGCCCTCCGCGAGACTGAGCAGCAACTGGCCTATAACCCTAAACCCTAAACCCTAAACCCTAAACCCTAAACCCTAAACCCTAAACCCTAAACCCTAAACCCTAAACCCTAAACCCCAAACCCCAAACCCTAAACCCTAAACCCTAAACCCAATACGAGCCACATGTTGCTGTTGGGGTGTGGGCTTTGAGAGAAGCATATAAAACCTAAATTGCAGCCGATCTCCGCAAAAAAACCCGAATATAGGGGTCTTAATAATTTGAATAGTTTTATTAGTTATTATTTTTTTGGAATACTTTTGGTAATTGTTTTGACCCCTGCATCAGACTCTTAGAGCCTAAACAGTCCTCACAGGGGCGAGATTCCGACATTGGATCATTGGTTGAGTCTTTCCCTCACACTTAAAGCCATCGAGCAGAGAAGGATGGGGGGAGGGAGTGAAGCCCTAAACCCTAAGCCCTAAACCCTAAACCCTACTAAACCCCTCAACCTAGAAGCGCAGAGACAGATCACGCCCTCCATCTCCGATCTTGAGGTTTGGGGCTTAGGGCTTGGGGTTTAGGGTTTAGGGTTAGGGTTTAGGGTTTAGGTTAGGGTTTAGGGTGGCGCCCTACTCTTCAAATTGTTGACATCCTCCATCCTTGTTCCGCAGACACCGCACAAAAAGCGGTTGATTTGGTTGCAAGCATCCCCTCCCCATCACCTTACCTTGCGGACGAAGTGAACCCCAAAAGGGTTCATGGTTCATATACCGTACCTATTATTTAATATGTTAATAGTTTCATAATGCAGTAAGAATCAAGTAGTAGGAATTATGGTAGTCAGGGTACATGACCCCAATTTTCGGGTTCATGTCGTCCCCAAGGTAGTACACAATTTCGTCTTTCAGGCCTCACCGTCATTCTCACTAGTAGAGACCTGCTATTGCCCAGTTCTCCTTTTTTGACCACAAAAGCGTATCATATCGGGGCTTAACCGACAGATTTGACATTCGCGCGATCTTTTGTGCAAGGATAGAGAAGAACTCAGAGACGGTGAAGCAGTGGCCGCTTGGATGAAAACCAGGACGTCTCAGTTGGAATTTGAGGTTTACGTCCTCCCCAGTGGGCCCTCACTTGAACCCTTGACTTGTTTTTTGGAGTGTGATTCCCTCATGAACCCCGCGTACAAAAACACAGTGCCCCGTAGAACTCCTGGGCCTCGATTCCGTTCGATGTTGCAAGGAAGCCCCGACAAACCCGGGCTCGAACTTTGCACATGAGTCTGAAGAATTCAAGATCAGTTGCACCTGAAGATCCGCAGGCCCCTTCCAAAACCCTGCACCCAAAATCCTACTGTAAGTCCTCCACCAGCCCAACCGTTACAGGGTCCCTGAGGAGGTCACGGGGGGGGGGGGGGGGGTAGGTACCTAGGAACCTTACAAAAGCTTAGGGAGCCTCAGGGGGTATTGGGGAACCTTGGGTTACATACCCTTGAGAACCCCTTCCCTCAAGAACCCCATAAACCCCAAACCCTAAACCCTAAACCCTAAACCCCAAACCCCAAACCCTAAACCCTAAACCCTAAACCCCAACCCAAAAGGTGGCTGAAGAAGTCCACCTCCCTGCCCGACATCGTGGAGATCGGGCCGGTACCACGCCGTCCCTCTATAGCTTGGCAGGGGCCTCAAAGCTGGGCTGCGCCAAATTTAGGGTTTAGGGTTTAGGGTTTAGGGTTTAGGGTTTAGGGTTTAGGGTTTAGGGAGTCATGTAGGGGGTCGGAAGAAGTACTTGATCGTTGTTCTGTATGGTCCCTACATGATTCTACTAAATTTCCCCCAAAACCCTGTTCCAATTATTTAGGCCCTTATACTAGCCTACACAATTGCTCTTGGCTGGTGTCGTCTTTGGGGCCTACTTGCCCTAAACCATAAGTCAAACCCTGAACCCTCAGCCCTCAACCCGACACCCTGAACCCTACACCGAGATTTTTGAAACCCTAAACCCTAAACCCTAAACCCTAACCCTGAACCCTAAACCCTTGGGATCACAGCTTGAGCACCGAAAATCGCCCAAGGCTTTCCGAGGTCAGGGCCTCGAAGGAGACCAGTGGAAACAGGCACAGAGCTCTACTCGGGAGGTTCAAGAGGGTACTTAATGAGTAGGGTTTAGGGCTTAGGGCTTCGGGCTTAGGGCTTAGGGCTTAGGGCTTAGGGTTTAGGGTTTAGGGTTTAGGGTTTAGGGTTCCGGGTTCAGGGTTCAGGGTTTAGGGTAGGAGGGTTTAGGGTTGCGGGTTCAGTGTTTAGGATAGGTGGGTTTAGGGTCAGTAATTTTAACGCTACGCGACTCGCCTCGGCCCGGCCCAGCGCATCGTGAGCATGGTGATTCCACAGCGCCCAAGTCGCTGGACCCCAAGCAATGAGGGTTGGGTTTAGGGTTTAGGGTTCCGGGTTTATTGTTTTATGGTTTGGGGTTTAGGGTTGAGGGTTAGTTTAGGATTGAGGGCTTAGGGCTCAAGCTTTGGGGTTTTTTTGGGGTAGGGCAGGGGGAAGGGGGAGGGGTGGGGTGGGGGGGGGGGGTGGGGGGGGGGGGGGTAAGGGGGGGGGGGGGTTGGGGGGGGGGGGGTGGGGGGGGGTGGGGGTGGGGGGGTCGCGGAGAGGGGGTAGTGGGTCCTGCTGGGAGGGGCTTCAACTGCCTCTGGTCCTGGCGAACCGTCCGCTTGCGGACCCCGGTTTCCCAGGGGGGGTACCCATTTGAGGCAAAAAAGGGGTCCGAAAAAGGGCTTTGAGTGGGGTGCCTGTTTTGACAACCTATACACCTCCGGCCCGAGGCCTCGGCGGACTTAATGAGCAGGTAGCCATGGACATAACCTTATCACGCTTCTCAGTACCCCATGAACCCTCAAGTAGACGCTAGTACCTCTGGGCATTTTCCAAGCTGACCTCCGCCTTGATACACCCCCCCCCCCCACCCACCCCCCCCTTGCAGGTACCTTGTTGGTCATATCATACAAAGCATGAAGTAGTTTAGGGTTTAGGGTTTAGGGTTAGGCACCCCACCCCCATGGACAACAAATCCTTAAGCCTTGTGCCGAGGCGTAGCTGTAACAGTTTCGGTTCCCTCTGGGCCCGGCAACAAAATTCTAGGGGAACGCCGCATCGGGACATCTCCACGTGTGTTGTAGTGTTCCTCAAGCCTTAGACCGTAAACTCTAAGCACCTGATCTATCTGTACCCAAAATATAGGAGCGCAGCTTCGGCAAGCAGCTGGCCGGTGGAGCAAGCTGAGCTTGCGCTGTACGATCTGTGACACAATGCCGGCCCCGAAAAAAAACTCTGTTTAGTCAGAATGGTTGAAGTCTAGAACTCCTAAGGCCCGAAACCCTAAAGACCCCCAAAAGCAAAGCCAAGCCACCCCTCCACCCGACCTAAACCTGAAACCCTAAACCCTCAAATCACCCCCCCCCCCCCGACAAAACAACTGCAGTTGATGCCAAGCCATGGCGTCCACCCCCATGCCGATGAGATCTCCTCGGCGCTTCGGGAGGCCGCCCGACGAGGGGACTGGCAGGCAGCCCTGGCCGTTGTGCCTCTTGGTTTAGGGTTTTGGAGTTTAGAGTTTATAGATAGCCCAGGTAGGCCCTTAGGATATATTTTTTTCGATATTATTGGGTTCAAGAGGATCAGATTTAGGAATATGTTCAGAGGGTCTTAAGGGCAATCCTAGTAGCCCAGCGGTGCCCTTTTCCCTTTTTTGGGGTTCAAGGTTCCCTCCTATCCCTAAACCCTACACCCCAAACAACGGGTGCCCATGTTAGAATATGGGCCTTTCCAAAATAGGGATGCCCCTTTTCTATTTTCTACCACAAATAGAATAGAATTCCCTTAAGGGGACCCCCAAAAAGGGTACATCACCCCAATTTTCGGGAACCCCCACATGGCTACTGGGGTCCCAAGGCCCGCCGTCCGAGACCAGCGGCTGTCCCTGGGCGCTTCAGGACTCGGACCCCACAGTGATTCCAGAGATATCCCGATTCCTCCGATTCCAAACGCGACCTAGACGTCCATGCATATTATGTTAGAGTGGAGTAGATTAGAGTAGAGTAGAGCATAGTATAGTATGGTATAGCATAGTATAGTATATCCGAATATAGTATAGCATAGGTTCTTAAATATATACGAGCCCATCATTTCCCTTGGAGCTTAGGGTCATTTTCCTCGAGAAGCATCAGGGTCACAGCCATAACTGAAGTACTCCCCCGGAGTGAAGGGAGCATTGCCGTCCCTGGCAAGGGCCTCCGGAGCCCTGAATCCGGTTTGCTTCGTTGCAGCACAGGTTCCGCGAGGCCCTTGCCTGCTGCAGCAGGGCAAGGCAGTGGCAACAGGCGCACTGCGGGTGGTTTTTTGTGGACTTGGAGACACCAATAACGTAGCTTTCAGAAAAACACTTGCAGCTCTTGGGTCGGGTTCTGGGTGACTGTAAGGGCGCCCTAAACCTCGACTCTCAACTCTAAACAAAGGTTTGGGTTTGGGAGGAAATGTTCAACACCGACATGGCTGCCAGGACCCTCAGGTCGCAATGATAGGGCATAAGGCTTTCCTGGGACCCTCTTTACCTAACAGTCTTCTGGGTGATGGCCTACGAATTAAAGGGTAGTTACTACTAAACTGTAGATAAATAGAGTCCCAGGCTAGGGCTTAGTATTTGGGACTTCGACATCCTTGCTTCTTGCGGTAACAGGCACTGGCCGCATTCCACGGGCTCTGCGCGAGGAGCCTGGTGCCAGTGTTTCGGCTGTCTCCTCATTGTTGAAATCCATTGGGAGTTCCTCAAGAATTTTATGCGAGACAGCTTGATGAGCGTCAGCTATCAGACGCATGCACCAGTTTTTGGAAGGCTCTACAAGAGGAACCCTTGATGGGCTTCAGGCTGAACATTCTCAAGCACCACATGGCTCAAGCTCACAAATTTTTACAGTCTTCCCTAAATCCTATAAACCCTAAACCCTAAACCCCCCCTGACTCAGTGTCTGAGGATGTCTACAGCTACCGGGCGGTTATCACCGCCTGTGACCGGGGTTCCCAGTGGAGGCTGGCGCTGGCGTTCCTGTCTGAGATGGTTTGCAAACGCACCTTCCCGAATCTTAGGGATACGTGGGATGTTTTTTTTTTTTTTTTAAATGAATTTTTCGGGTACTATGAAACCTAAGAAACAGCCAAATTAATAAACAATTTTTGCTAGGGCTCCAAGTTCAGTATAGGAATCTCTTCAATTTCAGCGCTGCCGTCAGCGCGTGCGCCGCAAGTGGGCAGTGGCAGGCGGCGGTGTACCTGTTGTCGGAGCTGCCGCATCTTGGTAGCCCCAGCGGTACCCTTTTCCCTTTTTTTGGCACAAGGTTCCCTTATATAAAGTAACCAACCCCAAAAAAAGGGTACCCTAAACCCTAAACCCTTATATGGTTGCTGGCCTACCAAGGTATCGAAGGGTGGCCTCCGACACGGTCATCGTCAACTCCGCGATCAGCGCCTGCGAAAAGGGCAGCCGATGGCAGATGGCTCTGGCACTGCTCGCCGCAATGCCCGAAGTGCGTCTCGCTCCTTGGGGACCATGTGTGAACCCGCAGACTGGATCAGATACCCTATGCTACCATAATCCTCACTCATTAAGGTACATGGACCACAAGCCCTTCTAGGTTTCGTGTCGTCCCCGAGGTCTAAGGGTAGTTGCATGGGCCCTTAATATGGTCCCTTACCTACTTTAGAGGCTTCTGAAGTATGGGCCCGTGTTTTTCTACAGGGTATATAAGGGGTCTGTAGGGGGTCCACTTTTTCGGGGCCCATATAAAAGGGACCATGTAGCCCTAAGACAAGGCTGAGGATGAGATCAGCTTCAACTCGAGTATCAGTGCCTGCGAAAAGGCTGGTCAGTGGAGCATCGCGCTGCAGCTTCTGGAGAAGCTTGGTAGCGCAGTGGTGTTTGGGACTTTTAGTATAAAGGGGAACACATTCGGGTTTAGGGGTTTAGGGTTTAGGGTTTACGGTTTAGGGTTCGTGGTTTAGAGGCTCATCTCCAGGCTCTTAAGGGGTCCAAGCCAGAGCTTACGCCTGAACTAGGAGGGCCCGCCCCCACCCCCCCCAACCCCCGCACTCCCCCCAACCCCACAAACAAAAAAACGCGACTCAACCCAAAGCTGGGATGCACAACCACCCTTTACCCTTTTTTCGGAGTTCTTTTTTTGGTTCTGGATTCCCTTATAGAGTAACCAACCCCAAAAAAGGGTGCCATTGTGACAATATATGGTTCCTTGGCTATCAAGGAAGATGCCTTCGTTCAAAGTTGCCCCGAATGTCATTAGCTTCAATGCTGGCATGAGTGCCTGTGAGAAAGCCGGTGAGTGGGAGACGGCTTTGCGACTACTTCTGCAGCAGATGCCCATCCTTGCAGTTACCCCTGATGACATCAGCTTCAATGCTTGCGTAAGCGCTTGCGAGAAAGCCGGCCAATGGCAAATGGCCATGCAGCTACTCTCTGACATGCCAGCTGCGCAGGCGGCACTGAATGTTTTTTGTTGCAGCGCGGCGATCAGTGCCTGCGAGAAGGGCGGTCAATGGCAGGCAGCGCTCTGCGTGCTTGCACAAATGGCCGCAGCGCGGGTTGTACCGGACAAGTTTAGCTTCAGTGCTGGCATCAGTTCCTGTGAGAAGTGCTGTCGGTGGTCCGTGGCTTTGGAACTGCTATCAAAGATGTCGCGAGTGCAGCTTGCACGTGATGAGATCAGCTTCAACGCGGGCATCAGTGCCTGCGAGGGTGGCCAGTGGCAGCTGGCACTGGCGGTGATGTCGGAGATGCCGGCTGACCGGCTGGCGCCAAGTGTGATCAATGTGAGTGCAGGCGTCAGCGCCTGCGAGAAAGCGTGTAGCGCCTGGCCCTTCAACTTCCGCAAGGCCTGCGTCCTGGCAGAGGTGAACCGGAAGGCGTGCATCGTTTCAACGGATAGCTCGACATTTCAGGATACAATGATTGCTATGATGATCGCGATAATGTTATTACTCATATAACTCTTATTGGTTGTATGATTATTTGAGATTTGTATAGTTATTAGTTATGAACTATAGTTATCATTGGTTACTAGGCAGGCCCTTGGGGACATTTCACAATTGTCCCTTGTTGGGTTTAAGGGCATCATCTTCAGGAATATTTGATCGGAGGGGTTTTAGCCCTAAACCCTAAACCCTAAACCCTAAACCCTAAACCCTAAACCCTAAACCCTAAACCCTTAACCCTAAGGCAACCCCGGGTTCCTTGTTCTCGCGTAACCTTTAAGGTTCAGGGTTTAGGATTTTGTGTTTAGGGAGTTCAGGGTTCAGGGAGTTCAGCGAGTTCAGGGAGTTCAGGGTTCAGGGTTTAGGGTTTAGGGTTTAGGGTTTAGGGTTTAGGGTTGAATCCGAAAGCCCTCTGGTCCGAGTTCAGGGTTCGGAGTTCAGGGGCAGAGTGCGGCTTGGTAAAGGTTCTGGCCCTAACCCTACTACCCCAAGCCCGAAACCCTAAGGCCCTAAGCCCTGAGCCCTAAACCTAGGAAGCCCCTTGGTTGCCTTGTGCCCTGGTTGGGAGCAGATTCCATCGTCAAATCTGCCGGTAGCACGAAGGGTTTAAGGTTCCGGTGGCCCCCGAGTTTTCATGTGGCTTCTGGGCGTTGAGCCCGACACCCTAGTTTCCGTAGTGTAGTCAGGTGGGTCGTCCTCTCTAGGGTCGTTTTGGGATCTTACGTAGCTTTGAACCCCCGCGACCTGGTTCATTAGAACGGGGTATTTTGGGTTTAGAGTTTTGGCTAGGTGTACTTCATGGACATCCTATCAATCGCCCTTTGTTACAAATACACCTAGCGTGTACTGGAAACCCATATACTACTATTTGCTTGAAGAACCCACCAACAAATACAACAAGATACTCTAATGCCTTATAAGGGCAAAGTAGGGCTTATTGGCTTATTATCATCTCTCTCTCTCTCTCTCTCTGTTTTTTTTTTTGGTGCGGGGGGGGGGGGGGGGGGGTTGTGTGCCCATACATCAGAACCTTTTAAAGGAGGTAAGGGACCATATTAAGGGCCCATGCAACTACCCCTAAACACTAAACCCTAAACCCGAACCCTAAGGGCGCATATCCAGGGCCATGCAACTACCCTTAGAAAGGCCGTCTTAACGACCCTGGCAATCGCGTAGTTTGTCTTGCTAAAGTTTCAAAATGATCGGAGACATCTCTTATGACGCCCTATTACAATCCCGACTAAGGACAAACAATGAGGGGGAACATCCCAACTCTTATTTAGCTTACGAACACCCCCCTCCCAAAGAATAACACAACATCTTCCTTACCAGGGCAACGCAGTATTATCTCCTTCCATTTCGATTTTTATGGGCGGGGTGGGGGGATTCTTTAGCAAAGGGTAAATTAGCTTCAGAGCAAGCCCTAAACCTATCAAAGTCAACCAGCCCAAAGCCCCTCATCAGTTCCTAAACCCTTAATTGCTCGAATTTTAAAAGTTCAGGCTCAAGAAATTCAAGGGTCCTGGGGCTACACGCTAGAAGTAGGGCAACTTCTGGTCATCGCTGTATCAGGGAACTTATGATCCTGCTTAAAATTGCCCATGAACCCTCAACCCAAGACCTTAAACAGTAAATCGTACTCATAAGTACCTAGGAACCTTCAAGTATGGTTTAGGGGTTCAGGAGTTTGGTGCTTGAGTTTTGGGATTTGTTTTTGCTTTTTTTGGGGCCTCAGGAAGTGAGGGAGCTGAACTGCACCCTATACCGTTCACCCTAAGCCCTAACTCCAAACCCCTAACCCTAAATCCGAGACCCTGAACCCTAAAGCCTTCGACCAAGCCTCTGATGCCATGGCTCTGGATGAGTCCGTGCAGCGGGCCTCTCTTCAGCCGGCATGGGCTACCCGCAACTCTCCCAACAAAACTTCCGGCCTCCCCAGCAGTTTTGGGGAGCTTTGCTTTTACAGGGCTTCTTGAGGGTTAAACTCTCTAAGGCCCAAGGCCGAGAAGCAGAAACGCTGCAAGAGCCTACTGCATCCTACTATGCCTCCACGCCCCTCTTCAAAGGCTTATGTTTCTGTTACACTCATAAGGGCCGGCGAGAGTGTACCCTCGACGTTGCACGCGGTTGTGTGTGCGTTGGCACCGGTGCTCCCATTGTCCCCTTCCGCCTCCCCCGCACCACCCCCACCGCCCCAGAGTCCAGACGGGAACATCCTCGAAAAATCTTAGAATACCTTTGTAAAGTAGAACCAAGAGACTGGTGCACAGTAGCGGCGCAAGAAAAACGACGTGGCGCATATGTTGACTCGACGATGAGCAGCTTCATTTAACCCCACAGGGTATCAGAGTCCTCAACGCCCCTTAGTCCTTCAACCCTGAATCCCCCCTAACCCACACGGTTACGAATATTTGCTAACAACCCCCACCCCCCCCCCCCCCCACAAAAAGAAGAGATAATATTCCCCATATGACCCTTCCAGGGAAGAATTATGAGGAATCAGAATCCCCATACTACCCTTATAAAGAAGAATGATAAGGAAGAGGATTTGTTTGTGTTTTTTTTGGGGGTGGGGAGAATCTTAAGCGATGAGTAGTTTTGGGTTTCGGGGCCCACAGCCCAGGACGGAGTGGCAGATGGCGCTGCAAAGGCTGCCCCAAGTGGGCCCCAAGAAGGGGCAGCGGGTGTTCTGCGAGGTGCGCGGTCACAGGATGCGAATTTGACAACCCACCCAAAGCCTCGAATACTAGGGGCCTGAATCTTCAGAGTAGGTTTTTTGGGGGCTATTGTAGTAAAAGCATGAAGGGGCCATAAGGGAACTCCATTACTAATTCTTCCGACCCCGATAGTAATTCTGAAACCGAAGGCCCAAACTTACATCGCAAGCTCACAAAGCATCAAACTCGTGCACGCACAGGGAAAAAGGCACACTACCTAAAGAAACATGATACGCTGAAAGAAGTCAAAATGCCCACTACTTATGGTGCATGTTCGGATACAGTGCATCGCTAAGTAAGCCCCCAAACCCGATTGCATCAGGGTGTCTGAAGTCTCTGAACCCTAAACTCTAAGAATACTTCAACATACCCCAACCCCATACTCCATAACACATAAAATGGTTTTGCCATGCCCCTGCATCAATTTGAGGGTTTAGGGTATAAGGTTTAAGATTTAAGGTTTAGGGGTTAGGGTTTAGGGTTTAGGGTTTAGGGTTCAGGGTATAGGGTATGTTGAACATGTCTTGGATAGACGCTCAGCTGCGAGGCCATCTCATGCTGCAGCCGGGCATTGCAGCAGCTTGGGTTTCCGGTTTAGGGTTTAGGGTTTAGGGTTTAGGGCTTCTAGGGCTTGGGGCTTCTAGGCTTAGGGTTTAGGGTGTAGGGTTGAAGTTTAAACCCTAATGTCTAAAAGCTAAGCCCTACACCCGTCACTTGCCTTCACAAGGAAAGACGAGGGCCTGGATGCTGGGTTTAGGGTTCAGGGTCTAGGGTTTAGGGTTTAGGGTTTAGCGTTTAGGGTTTGGGTTTCAATTTAGGGTTGAGGGTTTAGGGGGAGCAGGGATTGTTTTTTAGAAGGTTTGGCCACAGGCTGCCACAGGTGGTTTGGCTCTGGAATCCTTCCAATCCCCTGGTCCTCTGGTCCCCCTTGATGCAAAAGAGGACCTTGCAAGTTGGAACTCCCCAATAGCGTGACTGTCGAAGTCCCCAATAGCTCGACCCAAAACAGGACCCTACAAACCTCCGCAAGAGCTTGAAGCACAGCAAGACTCAAGCGTGGATGTGCGCCCCCGAAAGTGCGCCCCTGCTCGAACATGTACTTTACTACAGTGATGGTAAATGTTCAACTGGGTCTGGATTATACAAAGAGTTAAGGAATGTCATTTTATGTGCCTGTAGTTTTCTGAAAACCATTTCACCTTTGCGAAGTGAAACTAGGCTGGGGGCTCAGTTGCGGGGGCCCACAAGCCCCATACAAAAGACTCTGTAAAGTTCAATTCCCTGATCGCTTAACGCATTCTACAAGTTGGACTTCCCCAGTAGCTTAACGCAAAGAAGGACCCTACAAATTGAAATTCCCTTTAGCTTGATGCAAAACTAGAACCTGCCAGAGGCTCCGCCAAACCTTTTTGCAAATGACCCGGTTTAAGGTGAGCTTTCCACAATGCAGTGCTTTCCTCGGGTGCCCCTGATATGAAGCTGTGGATTTACAATAGGAGACCGCATAGAGAACTGGGCAGTGTTGCACACACACACACATAGCAGACTCTTGAGCAACCTGTCATACTTCTAAACCTAGAATAAAAGGAACATACGCCACATAATTAGTTTTTTCGGTGTGCTTAACTTACCGTGTTTCAAGTATAAAGTTAGTCTAGATAAAGCCCTACCAGCCAAATTCAGGTGGCAGAAGGCGCTTGACGTCTGGTCGCAGGTATCTTCTGGTTGCCGCCCCAGCGTGTTCAGCTTCAGCGCCCGGATTGAAGTTAGGGGATTAGGGTTCAGGGTTTATAGGGTTTAGGGCTCAGGTTATAGCAATGAGCTTTCAGGCCTTTGTTTCCTTCCTGCTGCAGCTGCCGCAGCACTGGAGGTGATGGTGCTGGTGGTGCTGGTGATGATCGGGGCGCTAAGGATAGATGCTATTGATAGACATGCAGTTTCATGTCTTTAGGGGGGTTGTTTCGCAGAGATGCTCGGAAGCTGGAGTGGCAAAGCCTTGCAGAACCGCTTGATCATCAGTAGGTCCTCAGTAGGTCAGTAGTATATAGAAGGAAACTTCGGTCCTTTTTCGTTTCCTCGGCCCCGACTTATGACACCAAAGCCTTGCCTGCAGCCCAGGTGCCGCCATCACGGCATGCGAGAAAGGAAGCCAATGGCAGCTGGCCATCCATCTTCTCACCGAGATGCCCTCGGTTCGTGTGGCGCCCAATAAATTCAGCAGCTTGCCTCGGGATTTGGGGGCAGGGCTCTGCACATAAGCCGACATCCAAAACCAGCATTGAAACGAACATCGATGGTGTTCCACTGTAGAAGTTTGCAGACGTAGCTAACGTGGCTGGAGTCAATGAGCTCTGCACGAGTCACCCACCCGCACCCGGAAAACCCTAGCCCCTAAACCCTACATCCCTCTACATGCTCAAGCCCCCTCCCCCCAAGAAAAAAACAGTCCTATTTAACGGCCCCAGGGCGGAGTCTTAATTCAGGATCCCACCGCGCACCCCCAAACAATCAGGGTGTCCTGAATAGCCCAGCCCAACTGACTTAATAGAGGGGGCCCCCACTAAAGCAGGTGGACCCTTATCTAAAGTTACAACCTTATCGAGTGTACCTACAACCCGACTTGTAAGACACCCTCATTCCTAAACCCTCAACCTTGAACCCTGAACCCCTAAACCTTGAACCCTATGCCCTAAGCCCTGAGCCTAAGCGCTAAACTATGCCACTGATGGGTCAAGGCTACAGTGCAGCAATCAGCGCCTGCGAGAAGCATGGCCGTTGGCAAGAAGCCCTCGTGCTGCTTTCAACAGTGCCTTGAATGTGCGTTTTAGTTTTCGTCTAGTCCCCAGGTACTTCAAACTTCAATCCTAAACCCTAGAAGCCCTAAACTACCCATGAACAACCCAGACCCCTGGGCGGGTCCCAAGATCCCTTTAAGGGTTCCCTAAGAATGACCCAATAGTGGTATTGGGCATACTTTGGGGGTTCTACTTCTTGGGTCCTGGGAAAGCCCTAAGTAAACCCTAAACCCTAAACACGAAACTGGTGATCGGCACTCCTTTCAGAGGGATGATAGCTTGGGATGTTCCCCTCTATGCTAATAGTCCTTTATAGGGATTGTACTTCCCCCAATCAGTCCTTAATGGGGTTCTACTTCCCCCTATTATCATATCCTTCTTGAGGACTGTTAGTACACTGCGAACATCACAACTGATAGTAGTATTGGGTGGAGGGCCCCAGAGGTTCGCGTGGTCCCAAGGTCTTGGCAATTCAGATTCAGCCCGACGTTGTGGTCTTTGGTGCTGGCATCAGCGCGGCTGAGAAAGGTGGCCAATGGCAACTGGCACTGCAGCTGCTGTCCACCATGCTCCTCACAAGGATTGCGCCGAATGTCGTCACCCTCAGTGCCTTGGTGAGTTCCTGTGAGAAGGCTGGTCAGTGGCAGATGGCCCTTCAGTTGCTGTTCGACATGCCCGCCGCGAAAGTGGTGCCGAACGAGATCAGTTTCAGCGCCAGCATCAGCGCCTGTGAGAAGGGTGGGCAATGGCAGCTGGCACTTCAGGTCTTGTCAATGCTGCCAGATGCAAGGCTGACAGCCAACAGAATCAGCTTCAGTGCTGCGATCAGCGCCTGTGAGAAGGCAGGTGAGTGGCGGATGGCCTTGCACTTGCTATCAATCATGCCCGCGGCCACGGTGGCGCCCGACACAATCAATGTCAATGCAGGCATCAGTGCCTGTGAGAAGGGCAATCAGTGGCTCGGTAGGCCCTTGGGACATTTTATACTTGTCCCGTATTGGGTTCAAGAGGATCATATGATATCCTAAACCCTAAACACGAAACCCGTTTTAAGGTGGGAGATAGCTCTGCAGCTGCTCTCGTTCTTGGCCACAGACCGCCTGGCACCGGACACAATCAGCTTTAGTGCGGCCATCAGCGCCTGCGAGAAGTGCGGCAACTGGGAGATTGCACTCCTCTTGCTGGCACACATGGCCATTGTGAAAGTGGAGCCCAATGAGATCAGCTTCAGTGCTGGTATCAGTGCATGTGAGAAGGGTGATCAATGGCAGATGGCATTGCAGGTGCTGTCCACGATGCGCGAATCCTCAGCCTTGCCTAACGTGGTAAGTTTCAGTGCTTGCATCAGTGCTTGCGAGAAAGCTCGTCAGTGGCAGATGGCACTGGCCTGCCTTGCGAAGATGCTGGAGGTCAGGTTCATGCCGGACGAGATCAGTCTCGGCACTCTACTCACTGCCCGTGACAAGGCGAGTCAGTGGCAGATGGCCTTGGCCTTATACGCTACTCAGCCATGATTCCGCCCTACACTAAACGAGCGCCGAGAATTCACCAACTTTGCCTCAACAAATCAGTATATAGAATTGTGCAGCTACGTACATACATACAGCCCTCAACCCAGAAACCCTCTAGATTCACTAAACATATGATAGTGTATCTATCCATCCATCTATCTATATATATATATATACATATATAAGCACCCGGCGCCCTTAGAACCCTGAAACCCACATGCACCATCCGAGGCCCTTCTTCCAACCAACGCGCCGCCGGCTCGTAACCCCCTGAGCGCCCTCTCGGGCGCCTGTGAGAAGAAGGGCACGCCAGTCCCGACGCTGCACCACGCGCGGTTCAGGATGTATACGGGTTACCAGGATGGGCTGTTATAGGGTATGATAGCCCATCCTGGTAGGGTCCTGGTAGGGTAGTTTCTGGAGGTTCGAATTTTTAGGGTTTAGGATTGTCTTGGGCGAACTTGGGCCATAGCGTCAGCGTCCTTGGCCCAGAAAAACCCAGTGCGACTGCCATCTGGGGCACATTGACATTTGTGCACGTACTGCACTCTCGTGTCTGGGCACGATCATCTGCCGCCATTGCAGCTCCTTGTGTTTGCGACAGAGACGCAAGCACAAGAATCTGCACTGGCGCCACATGACCGAAACCCAAAGCTGGAGCACGGTTAGCCCTATGCCAAGGCATTCAAAAGCCGTGACCGACGAAGCGTTTGCTGTCTGCGATTTCTTCTGTGAGCGTGCCCCCCTCCTGTCTGCGTGCCGGACTTTTGAGACTGACTTCTCGGACAGGCGCCGCTTCGACTTGAGGTCTGCGGACCGATGTTTTACCGCTACTCAGTACCTGCCCAAGAATGGCCAGAAACTTCGCTGGTGCACTGAGAACCCTACCTCGGTGACCAAATGAACTCTATAATGGATGACAAACCTATACCACGACAACCCCTGTTTCGCGACATGACCACAAACTCTTTTTGGTTTCATTTAGTCCCGAAGGTACTTCTAACCCGAAACCCTAAACCCTGAACCCTCCGCTCCAAACTACACATATGTACACATGAACATGGCGCTGTCTACCTTAAACCGGCGTGCCAGGATTCTCGAAGCTGCACAATCTAGCCTGCAGGCGGCCAGCTGTAGGGTTTAGGGTTTAGGGTTTAGGGTTTAGGGTTTAGGGTTTTAGGGTTTTAGGGTTTAGGGTTTCCGGTTGGTTTAGGGTTTAGGGGACAGGGGAAAGCCGAGTGTTCGGGATGCGGTCTAAATCTCGGGGTTTTCGACCACTTTGCAGTTCCTTCTTTCTGCATGTGGGAGGGGGTAGTTGTGCGGCGACTGACTTTTTGTATGAAACTTAGGTACTCAACAACAACCAACCTTCGTACAAATTGGGGGGGGCTGCGGCCTAATCCCTAACCCCTAAACCCTAAACCTAAGCCCCTAACGTGCATTGAGTGCTCAGGCGCCAATTACGCGGTGATAAGTCCAGAGGGCTCAGTTTGACTCGAGTTTTTTCTTCGAGTACCTTTGTCGGGATGCCTTGTTCTGTTAGGAGTACCCAGGGTAGGCCCTTATTCTCTTATTCTCTTTTGCAGGGCTTGGTTCCCCCGCAAGCCCCCGTAACCCAAAAAGGACACTTTTTCCATTATCAGGTTTTCTCCTGGGTCTAGGTCAGGAGTACCCTCTTTTGGGAAAGACCCATCCCTTGAACTCTAAACGCCCTCAGAGCTCAAGCAACCCTGATCCCTGAAATCCCTTCTTTGCCTTCCCGGCCGTCCTCTTAGGGTCTAGGGCTACTCTAAGGCTCTTGGTCCCTCAAAACCCCAGGCTTACCCCAGAACCCGGTAGGAGGATCCTTGGAGCCTTAGGGTAAGCCCTAAGCCCTCAACCCTAAACCCTAAAGCCCAAAACCCTCAGACAGTCTTGGGATCTTTGGGAAGTATTTTGGGTAGGCCTTTGGAACATTTTATGTTTTACCTCTCTTTGGGTTTAAGAGGGTCCTATTCAGGAATATTTGTTGGGAGGGTGTTAAGGGGCCATCCTTAGGTTTTAGCCCTAAACCCTAAACCCTAAACCCTAAACCCTAAACCCTAAACCCTAAACCCTAAACCCTAAACCCTAAACCCTAAACCCTAAACCTACACCCTAAACCCTAAACCCTAAACCCTAAACCCTAAACCCTAAACCCTAAACCCTAAACCCTAAACCCTAAACCCTAAACCCTAAACCCTAAACCCTAAACCTAAACCCCTGCCGCCAGAAAGCACCGAATCGGTCGTCGCTCGCATCCACCTGGAGCACGCACACTGAGGAGCCTGGCAACCACAGCTGGGTTTAGGGTTTAGGGTTTAGGGTTTAGGTTTTAGGGTTTAGGGTTTAGGGTTTAGGTTTTAGGGTTTAGGGTTTAGGGTTACCATGATCCTTCAGCTGGGTTTTTGGGGTTCTGGACTTCGGCTCTAGGGTGGATGTTTTTAGGGTTTAGGGTTTAGGGTTCCGGGTTTAGGGTTTAGGGTTTAGGGCTTTGCGTTTGGGGTGTTCTTTCGGGCTTACGCTCTCTGGAGGGGGACGCGCTTTCCGGTTTATGGGTGTGGAGGATTGACGAGCCATTGACGAGTTCAAGCTCTAAGGTTTTGGGTTTAGGGTTTAGGGTTTCGGGTTTAGGGTGTAGGGTTTAGGGTTTAGGGTTTAGGGTTTAGGGTCCTGGTTTTTCATGGCTAGAGGTGTAAAGGTTTAGCCATGGGTTCCCCTCAACGTACTGAAGCCTTGAACCCTTAAGACCCTATACCTGTACTACCGGTTGCCCCCGAAAATGACCTCAATTCGGCTTAATTGAGTATCCCGGAACACAGGGGGAATGGGGAAGACCAACATGTTGGTTTCGACTTTTGTGCTATACGATGCAGTAGCACGAGGAACCCTAAACCCTTTCCTGGAGCCAGAGGCGGGACTTCTAGAATGTAGATCAAGCCCGAGTATGCCCAGGGAGTTTTGTAGAGGGACTGCCTGGAACCAAACGTTTCTAGGGGTTTAGGGTTTAGGGTTTAGGGTTTAGGGTTTAGGTTTTAGGTTTAGGGTTTAGGGTTAGGGTTTGGGTTTAGGGTTTAGGTTCAGTTATGGTTTGGGTTTAGGGCTTAGGGTTAGGGTTTAGGGTTTAGGGTTTAGGGTTTAGGGTTTAGGGTTAGGGTTTAGGGTTTAGGGTTTCGGGTTTCGGGTTTCGGGTTTAGGGTTTAGGGTTTAGGGTTTAGGGCGAAGCCCTAGGCTATGCTGTGGGGATTGGGGGACGCGGGCCCGTGACGGTAGCATGTGGGGGTCGTCCCAAAAGGGAATCCCTTCTGGGGCTGCCTGTTATGACTCAAGGCCTAGATCCTAAACCCGAGACCCTAAACCCTAAACCCTAAACCCTAAACCCTAAACCCTAAACCCTAAACCCTAAACCCTCCTCTTTCGCAAGACCTCAAGACGACGTCCTCTGACGTGCAGCTGTGTGGCCACAAGCATACGGCACCCACGCTACCATAAGACCCTGCAGACCGGATCCTGCAAAACCCTTAACCACCCTAAACCCTAAACCCTTTGTGCGTTGGGATTCTCAAACCCTAAGTCCCTGACCCTCTAGAAATTCAGATGCCCTTGCCGCGCAAACCCTTGCCGCGCAAACCAGCAGCACTGAGATTCCCTCGACTGCTGAACCAACCTGGAAGGCTCCAGTCTTAAATCTCTCTAAACCCTCAACCCTACGTAAACCCAATGCCCTAAACCCCCTGCCCAAGACGATGTTTAAAGTATTGTCGCGGTTCAGGGTTTAGGGCAGAGCACCACATCTGCAAACAGCACCTCGTGCCCGCACGGCTTCGCTGCTGCTGCTGCTGCTTCCCACTGGTGGTGCAGCTTGCTCAGCGAGAATTGCATGGGTGCTTACAAGTAGGGTGGAGGGTTTAGCGTACTCATAAGTATGGACGGTGAGTGGGGTACTTCTGTTTTAGGGTACTTCTATCCTTAAGACAAGCGAGGCTCTCAAGACTCTTGCCTCCGAATTGAGGTTCCTGAGTTTAGGGCTGGGAGTTGGGAGGGCGAAAGGGTCACTGCATTCAGAGTGGAAGTTCGGGCTTTGCCGTGGGAAAACCCTAGTGCCCTAAATAGCCCTACATTCTCAAACCCCAGCCCTAACTCCTCTGAGGGTAGTTGCGTGGGCCCTCAATCCCCAAGCTGTTTTTTCCGGGTGTGGTTGGGGGGTAAGGCCCCGCCCCCCCCCCCCCGCCCGTGGTGTGGGTGTGGTTGGGGGGTTTGGGGGGAGTGTTTCGGGTGTAGGGTTCGGGGTCTGGGTCTAAGGGTTAGGCCCATGGTGTGATTGGGGGGTTGGGGATAGGATTCGGGGTTACAGGTTTAAGAGACCAGCCGCCCGCGCTACCGCTGCGCCCCCCCGTGGTGTGGTTTGGGGGATTTGGTTTAGGGTTTAGGGTTTAGGGTTACGGTTTAGGGTTTGTATAAGTTTAGGGCTTACGGTTTCCCCCCCCCCTCGCCTGTGCTGTGAATGGTGGTTGGCGTTTGCCATATTAAGGACCATGTATCCCTAAACCCTAAACTCGAAACTCCTTTTAAGGGCCCATATGAAGGGGGACCGTGTAACTGTCCCTCCGCATGCTGCTGCCAGGCACCGACACGGCGACGAAAAGGCCACCTTGGAGTTAGGGTTGAGGGTTTGGGGTTTAGGGTTTAGGGTTTAGGGGTTTAGGGTTTAGGGTTTAGGGTTTAGGGTTTAGGGTTTAGGGTTTAGGGTTTAGTTCCAAACAAAAGCCCCAAGCAACCTTTTCCCCTGCAAGTTGGGCTGCTGGACTTAGCTCAGATATCTCTTGACTGATCCAAGATAGCAAAAAAGACATCCAAGGTCAGATATGACCTTCTTTGTGGCAGTGATATCGCTGATTCATCTTTTTCCTATCTTTTTGCTCCCTTTTCCGGACAAGAATCTGCCTCTTCGGGTTGCCCTGAACCCCTGTTGCACCATACGCCTACACTCTGCAGACCCTAAACCCTAGGGTTTAGGGTCTATGGCTCAGGCCATAAACGCTCAATGTGAACTTAGGGGGCTAAGGGACGCTGGTTCTGACATCATGAAAACCGACGCTGGTTCTGAAATCATGAGGAACCTAGGGGGGTGAAAGGTGCCGACATCTAAGGTAGTTACATGGGCCCTTAATATGGTCCCTAACCTCCTTTGAAGGCTTCCGATGTACGGGCCCTTAGTTTGTCTAGGGTATTTACGAAGGTATATAAGGGGAACTCTTTTAAGAGCCCATCCTAAGGGACCATGCAATTACCCCTAGGCCACATTCCCTTATTAGGGCTTATCAAGGCTTATTTGGCACTTATTTGGGGAATATGGGGCCCTTGCAAATTCCTTCCACCCTTCCTCCTCCTTACGATGAAAGCAAACCTTAGTAAGGTTCAAGGCTTAGGGTGTAACCCTAAGCCCTAAACCCCAAACCCTAAACCCTAAACCCTAAACCCTACTTATGCCGGCTCTCTTGTGACTCTTTGGGCAGGAAGGTCTTCGTTTACGACGTTCCCAAATGCGCCTCCGCCGAAGAATTGCTTCACAAGCTTCCAGGCGGATCAGCCTGCGCAAAAGTCCTGAGTCCGATACCTATGCAGGGTCCCTAAACCCTAACCCCGAAATTCTGAACCCTAAATCCTAAACCCTATACCCTAAACCTTAAATGCCAAATCATAGATGTCTCTAGAAGCAGCCCGAGCTCCCTGAAATCCGATACCCCGTGTCTTAAAGCCCCTGGTGACCCTAGCCCCGAGTATGTCTTCAAGCACTTTCGCTTATACTGGTTTCGAGAGGGTTTAGGGTTCAGGCTTTAGGGTTTCGGGGGGTCGGGTTTAGGGTTTAGGGTTTAGGTCCGTTTAAGGAATCATTCGAAAGGTTTCAAGGCTAGACCAATAGCTCAGGCTCCAGCCCTCGAAGCCTCCAGCCCGGTAACCCTCTCACCGACTCCACTGACACCACCACCCCCTATGATGAGCAACTCCGGGTTCTGAGAAGCACTTGACCAGTTCGACCGAATCTCATATAAGCAGACATTCTGCCACCCTAAGCCCTAAACCCCAAACCCTAAGTCCTAAACCCTGAACCCTATGCGATCGAGCCATTGAGGAAAAGAAAGAAGCCCTACGTGTACAACCCTCCGGTTGATTAGAGGGTTTAGGGTTCAGGGTTTAGGGTTCAGGGTCTAGGATTTAGGGACCCTGCACAGATATCAGCCAGCCTGCAGGCGACGATGGTGTGCCCCTGGAGCTCGGAGAGGAGGCAGGCCAAGCAACGGATCAACTGCCTGCATAAGATCTTGCTAGCCCTGTGGTACCCTTTGCCTGTTGTTGGTTCAAGGTTCCCATTTGAACTAACAAGCCCAGAAGAAGGGAACCCTGATTATAATCTGAGGGTTTCCGAAAATAGGTGTTTACCTTGCTGTGGTCCTTAGTATAAGGGATTCCTACTCTTTGAAGCCTATTTGGGGTCTATTGCAGGGGCCCCCTATTTTCGTAAACCCCCCCCAAATGGCTGCTGTGCTACCAAGATATACCGTGACAGCTCCCTGCAGTGGCAGAAAGCAGACAGGCGACGCTGCAATTGCAGAAGTGTAGCTACTTGCAGTTATAGCCCAAGTACAGGTGTAGTTCTATCCCACTTGTAAGCCCCCTGCGTACCCTAATGGGGTGAACATTGGGTTATATGTACAGTTCTAATTCGGTTACTAAGTAGCATGAACCTCCCAGCACTTGCAGGTTCATGGGCACTTAGAAGGAGCTCTACAGAAGGTTGCAGCCGCCATAGCTACCCTAAACCCTAAAGTCTAAGCCACCTGACTCATAACAAACCCTAGACCCTAAACCCTAAACGCTCAATCCTAAACCCTAAACCCTAAACCCTAAACCTTCATGAACTTCGCAAAGTAGCAAGAAACACTTGATGTGCAGGTCGCTCAATGTGTTGGACCCAAGTGCTCCTTGTATTCGACAAGGAAACCTCCCCAACAAATCAGCATGAGATTAGGGTTCAGGGTTTAGGCTGTTGTGGCACCCTAGAGCCCCTGAAAACCCTTAACTCTCTGGTATAGAGCCCAAATCCTGGGCCCTAAACCCTAAACCCTAAACCCTAAACCCTAAACCCCCTATGGCGTGGGCGAGGCCAATGCGCTGTATCTGCGCAAGATGGCGTCACAGATTCGGCCCTTGCGCGGGCCTGAGGATGCCAGGCTGCTAGTCTGGAGCAGCTGCCAGTTTGTGTTAGGGTTTAGGGTGTAGGGTGTAGGGTGCAGGGTGTATGTAGGGTTTAGGGTTAGGGTTTAGGGTTTAGGGTTTAGGGTTTAGGTTTTGGTTTCTTGGGTGTAGGGTTTAGGGTTTAGGGTTTAGGGGTTAGGGTTTATGGTTTAGGGTTAGGGGCTTGAAAGCCCCAAGTTGATTTGGGTGTAGAGCTTCGGGCTTTCAGGGTTTGGGTGTTGAGGTTGGGGCTGAGGGTTTTTTTTTCGTACTTCTAGCAAGGACGGGAGCACTAGATTGCATGGGCACATAGCGCGAGTTTAGACAGTACAACTAGTAGTGGCGTCTGAAGCCTTAAAGTAGTTGGGTTTAGGAGAAGTTCAGAGATGCACTGGCTTCGCTTCCGGTCTTGATGTGTGGGTTCCGCTTGTTTCCTGTCGCAGCCCAAAAGCCGAGAGAGACGTTGCGCCAATTCCATAGCGGTATGTAGAACCCCAGAGCTTCAAACCCTCAAACCAGAGAATAGTTCAAGATACCCCAAATCCCCGAAACGCCTGAACCCTAAACCCCTAAACCCTAAACCCAAAGCCCTAAACCCAAGAAGTTGGCCTTCCGATGCTTGGATCCCAGACCAACCCCCGAAATTCCCGAAAATCTCTAGGATCACCTCTTCTCCCAAGCCCCCGATTTCCTAAGTGCCTTGAGACCCCCCCCTCCCTCCCCCTCATAGTCTAGGGTTTAGGATTTCGGTTGGACATGTGGGCTAGTTGGGGTGTATTAGTTTTGTAGCGCAACTATTTCGTTTCATGGTTCTCGAGCAGCCATCTTGCGTCCCGCGTCCCCGGTGGCCGTGCGTAGCGGAAGGCCAAAAGGGTTGTGGGAAAACAGGGTCTAGGGTTTAGGGCTTGGGGTTGAAGGGGGGTGGCTGAGGGCTTCCGGTATATAGTTCAAGGCTGAGGTTACTTACCTAGAAACGAAATTGTGGTGCCCAAAGGGCAGCCCAACAAAGGAACCTCCAATCATGGATCCAGTGGCAGGCTTGGGGGCTTCGGCTTTCGGGTTTTAGGGTGTATACTGCCTTGAGCACAATGTCGTGTAGCTTGGGAGGGAGTGGTTGCAACTAAGGGGCAGAGTGCCACTAAACACCCATTCAACCAAAAAGGTAATTACACCCCCCAAATCAAACCTAGGTTGTTTAAATGGCACATGGGTTGCTCCATTTAAAGTTTATCTCGGATCTAAGAGACTCTCCGATGGTATAATGCTCTTGTATACGGGACTGTGTAGCTACCCTAAAGGCCCTTAGTCGCTGAACCCTGAAGCTTGTAAATCCTAAACCAACCCTAAACCCTAAACCCCTAACCCCTAACCCCTAAACCCTAAACCCTAACCCCTAAACCCTAAACCCTAAACCCTAAACCTTAGGGGATTTCGAGGTCCCATGATCCTCCAGCGCCGACTCTGCCACGAGCAGCTCAGCTTCGCCCGCGATGTCCGCGCCTGCTCTCTGATGCAAGCAGCTGGGGGTTTAGGGTTTAGGGTTTATGGCTTAGGGATGAGGGTTGAGGGTTTAGGGTTTAGGGTAGTAGGGCGCAGATGCTGTGAAGGTTAGGCTTTGGAACAAGCTCGAAAGCTTCGTCTGGCCCGATTGCGGAGCACCTTTCTCCCGCCCCACGCCGTCCGAGACGGCAAAGCCATCCAAACTTATTCCTTTTAGGGTTTAGGCCTAAACTCAAGTCCATTGCTTACTTACAATAAATCTTCTTCTGGTTCCAAAAAAGGGAGTTGAGGGGTTCTGCAGGTTGTGTCGGCCTGTGCAGGGGGGCCTGTGCGGGGCAAAGACGCACAACGCCAAGAAGGGTGGTTGTAGGGGGGACCCCTGTGAAAGGCGGGCGAACGACCTGGGTCGGCTGTGCGCTACTAGGTACATAGAGGCTGCATACCAGGGCCCTGACGAACCTACATTGAAAAGGCTAGCTGGGGGAATTCGGTCGGACGCTGCAACTCTGTCTAAGCATGGGGTTTTGCAGCTTACTTCGAACGTGGCATCTGCTTGAAGGTTCATGGGTGCAAAGATGAAGGGTAACCAGGACCCGAAATACGGTTCTGATAATGGTTACCCCTACTTAGAAGTGCCTAGGAGCCTCCAAGTAGAGGTTTAGGGAATCAAGGCACCAAATCCTGGCAATGGTGGGATGCCGTGGGCCTTCTGAGGACCGTGAAGCAGAGGGAAGAAGCTAACTCCCTGTGTTCTTGGGTTCTTTGGGGGGGGGGGGGACGAGAGTGGAGGCCCCAAGTGGCATGAAAGGGTGCCCTTCGTGTTCCTGTGTTACTGGAAAACTTTCGGCCCTGTCACCTTCAACAACTTCTTGAAGGACAGCTCCGCAGGAGATGAGGGTCACGACAGACACGATCAGCGACTTGGCTGCCTTGGTAGAAGTTTGAGACTGCAAGCGTAAAGGTGTTGAGGCAGGCTCAAAGGGTAGGTGCAGAGGAAGGGCTTGTGTCACAAGTTTGCTTGGAGTGAGGGCCATATGAACAGTGCATTCAACAAAGTGTATGGAAGTGACAGCGCTTCAACCGGGGAAGGCACGATCGTAGGTTCTGCGTTGCTTGTTCTCTGCATGCCCGCGCTGGCGCAGAATTCTAGTGTGCTATATCTCACGTTGATGAACCATTTAGAGGGAGTATGGGGATCATAGGCTTCATGGCCCATCTCGAGCAGGGATTGATTCCGAGGCTACACACAGACTATCCAAGCATGCGGCCGAGCCGACGTTTGGACTCTTGCAGTGCTTCTACTGTCCCAGATGGGCCTCTTGGTCGCAAGGTTAAAGGGCCCTGAGGCTGTGTCCCGTTGCTTTCTCCTTCTCAGGGTGCTACTCCATCTCACAACGGAACCTCCCTTTTTGGGATGCTGTTTGTTGAAAGGTGCTGCCTCGAAACTCTTTTCATGGTCGGTCCTGCGTCAGAGGTGTCGCCGCGGTCGTCCCGGATCAGATCACCTACGCCAGTGCGATCAAAGCGTGTGGCGAAGCTGGGTCAACATTCATGGCTGTAGGGCCTTCCCCTGGCTCTTAGTAGGGAATAGGGCAATGAGCTACCCGACATAATCCCTAAAAGGGTATATACAATAGGGGGATACAATAGGGGGATACAGGGTACCTAGCCAGCCTTTGCACAGCGCAGTCCCGAGTCTCCTCTGAAGCACAAACGATTGGTCATGGGCCTCGTTCTACAAACCGGTTGCTGTGAAGACCTCCTGTTGTTGTCTTCTTTGTTCGCAGTGGTTGGCACCTCAGACTGAGAAGAGTGCCTGGAAGAGTCTGGGATTTCAGCAGCACCTGCAGGGTCGGTCCAAGTACCTCAGATTTTTCGCGGTAGTTTTTGGTAAGGTTCTGGGCCCTATAGCCTTAAATTGCGTATTGGCACCCTCTGGGTTAGCCAGCATCTCTTCAGTGCTGTCCGCTCATCATCCCGCACGGTGTGTCAAGCGCTTAGCACCCGCAATGCGTAAGACTTGGCCCAGGGCTGTTTTGGATGATTAGAGTTTAGGGTTTAATTAGGGTTTAGGGAAACTTCACTACACAGCTCCCAGGACGCTAGCAATTGGGAAGCCGCCGTCTGCTTGCTTTCGGACCTGGCAGCGCAGACCGTCACACCAGATGTGCTGTGGCTGAAGTCAAGCAAGAGAGAGAGAGAGAGAGAGAGAGAGAGAGCTAGAGAGAGAGTCCAAAAAAGAATCAGAGAGATGTCCCTTGCATGTCCTTTCTTCCAGCTCTCAGAAACAGCAAGACACCTGCGCCATGGGCGTCTGTGGAAAGTGCCAGCTTGTGCACTTGACCACAGCTGGGTAGTAAAGCCATGAGACGCAGACACCACATGATTCTCCGAGGGTCCTCTTTCGGTGGCTCTCGGTCTCTGTCCGTCTCTATCTGCCCATCTTCCCTTCTCTCTCTCTCTCTCTCTCTCTCTCTCTCTCTGTCTCTCTCTCTCTCTCTCTCTCTCTCTCTCTCTTTGTGGCAGCGGCTTCAATCAACTGTGCAGGTGCCCAACGCTGGAAACTACCCTAGAAGGAACTGCATTGTCATCGGTATAACTAGGCTTTACTGGGGGCTAGTTTTGCGGGACTTTGGGTGGAGAGATGAGTCAACCTGATGTTGGTTCTGGTGCAAGGCACAGTCCCAGTCAGGTCTGGCTTCAGGCCTCCACATAGTGCAGATGGATGTAGTTTTGGTTGGCCGTTTCTCGCCGTATTTTGGTGTATGTTTAGTGCTCAATGTAACAAGGGCGCCATTAAAGACCATATTTTACGATAGTCATATCTTTTCGTTCCTTTTTGATCATTTTATTGGATCCTAGTGCAGAAATGTAAAGGCAAGAACAGTAAAACGAATAGAAACCGCTAAGCCCCAAGCCCTAAACACTAAACCCCCTTTAAATGCATCTAGACAGGGAAGTGGAACCTGGCTGCTGATTCGGGTTTCGCAGTCATCGAATTGCGGGCTGCGGATTTCAGAGCGGTTTCCTCACTTGTCCTCGGGCCCGCAGACGTCCTAAGGGTCCATGTACCTATATTAGTATATACATGGGCCGACAAAGAGGGTCCCCATATAGTAGCTTTAGGCCCAGTATATATACCACGTGGGTACATGGACCCTTAGAGAAGTACGCCCCAAATTGCCCTCAGACTCCCAACATCCTAAGCACTCAACCCTCAGCTTAGGGCGCCCAGTAGTGCCCTGATTTCTTTTTTTCGGTGCGTGCTAAACCCCAAACGCTAAACCCTAAACCCTAATCCCTAATCCCGAATTTAACCCTAAACCCTAAACCCTAAGCAGCTCTTGTGCACCCTCAACAAAGCCAAAGCAGGAGATCACCTTTACCGGGGCGCTTGCGGCCTGCGGCCAGAGCGGCCAGTGGAGGGAGGCGCTACTTCTCTTTGCTTCAATGCCCTTCGGGCCGAAGAGTTGAG